GAGCTGCTGGTAGTAGTCTCTTATGATCCTTTGTATTTCAGTGTTGTCTGTTGTGATCTCTCCATTTTCATTTCTAATTTTGTTAATTTGGTTCTTCTCCCTTTGTTTCTTAATGAGTCTTGCTAATGGTTTGTCAATTTTGTTTATTTTTTCAAAAAACAAGCTTTTAGCTTTGTTGATTTTTGCTATGGTGTCTTTAGTTTCTTTTGCATTTATTTCTGCCCTAATTTTTAAGATTTCTTTCCTTCTACTAATCCTGGGGTTCTTCATTTCTTCCTTCTCTAGTTGCTTTAGGTGTAGAGTTAGCTTATTTATTTGACTTTTTTCTTGTTTCTTGAGGTAGGCCTGTAATGCTATGAATCTTCCCCTTAGCACTGCTTTTACAGTGTCCCATAGGTTTTGGGTTGTTGTGTTTTCATTTTCATTCATTTCTATGCATATTTTGATTTCTTTTTTGATTTCTTCTATGATTTGTTGGTTATTCAGAAGCGTGTTGTTTAGCCTCCATATGTTTGAATTTTTAATAACTTTTTTCCAGTACAGAGATTCTTATCATTCATTACTCAACAGCTGCTGGTCAGGGGAAAACCATCCATTCGTTGTTTTGTGCCATTTTCCCTCTTCTGCTTATTAAATGTGTCTTGCCTGCCTGCCTGCCAGCCTCACCTCAAATCTGTCTTCTCAGAGATGCCATTTGTGATGAATCCCTTTTCCCAGCTTCCTCCACCAGAATCTATGCCTGTTACTTCTGTAACACTTCATGGTCATCCTTTTAGGGATGCATTCAGTCTTCAGCAGACCAAAACTTTCTGGGAGCGAGAGAAATACCTGTTTGTCTTCTCAGCACACAGCGCCAAGCCATAAACCTCGGAGGTGTAGGGCCCTTAGTCCTCTCATCAACCTATACAATCTCCACTCCACAGTGACCATTCCCCAGTCCTACTGGACAGAGGCTTGTTTTAACACTTTGCACTCAGAGTTCAGCATCAGAGGATGGCTAAATCTCAAGTAAACAGTCCACAGTCATAGAGAGTGAGCATATGCTAAGAGCATTTCCATCACAGAGACCATTTCGCTGTGAAGTGCACTTAGAGTAAAACTATCAAAGCTTCAAATTCAGGGCTCCTCGGGTGCGTAGGATCCCCTCGTAGGTATTCACAAAGTTATTTGTTTGTGTGAATTTCAAATTAAAGATATTTAAACTACAGTTGTCTCTTTCCATTCAGACTCCCTGCATCTTCCCTCTTCTCTTGTGGAAGGTCATCAGAGTGACCCCAGACATGTGTGGGGTCTGGCTCAAGAGAAAATGAGTGGGTTTGTATTTCCTTGAGATATGTTTATGTAGTTTGAGATCATGTCCATGGAGGAAATAGAGGAATGTCTTCCTGAATGCTCCCGTCATGGACAGAGGGTAACCCAGTCAGACATTGCACCAAGAAGATTTCAGATGAGAGAGTTTTCCAACTGAATATGTCCTACCACCCCCAATACCAGAAATATAAAATAGTAAACAAGGTTTATGTGCCGGGAGCTAATCTGTGAAGAATTCTTCTAGTCCCCAAACATGTAAAATTACAAATACAAGATTGGGTTCTCATTGGTGTCTAGACAACACAGAAGTTCTCCCCAGTGGAAAATTCAGTAACATATCATTGAAAATTATAAATAGACTATGTCCTTGTCTTTGTTTTTCAGTAGGAATCAAAAGAGAATTTATCCAAATGTTAGTTTGTAGAGCACAGACTTTAACAGTATCAAGATGAATAAATATACCTGTAACCACTTATATATGAAAGAAATTATTTAGTGATTTCTCACTGGATTTGACAACAACCTGGAAAATGTGCAAGATATTATAAGTTTGTGAAGCTGAAAAAATTAAATCAATAGTATTGGGGCTGAATTATCTTTCTATTCTTGCTAGAGAAAATGATATTATAAAACTGCTTTTATATGAAGAGATAATCAGAGTATTGAGCCAACACTGTAGGGGGAAATATTATGTAGGTGTACTGGGCTGTTTATTAATAGAAATATCATTTTTCAGAAAGTTCTTGTGTTTATGCTATTTGTCAATCATTTTAAATTTGAGATTTGTTGTGATTTCCTTTCTCTTTCTAAATAGCCACATCTAATTTAAACTTTTCAATTTCATCATTCTTTTTCTAAAGGAATGTCTTCCAAAATTGTAAGTATATCAGGCCCTAAAAACTTCCCCTACCACCAACATCCAGAAAGATGTTTGAGCTCAGTACAATATAAGCAAGTGACTGGTTTATGTCTTGCTTCGTTCCAGTCTTGGTCCAGCCAGCAAGTATGGAGAGTTTCCTCCTCCAAACATAGGCAGAGTTTCACATTGTAACACAAAATTAATTTTTAAAAATGTTCATCTTCAGAAACTGAATACAGTATCAGAGGACAGAGAAATGGTTATTATAGATGCTTTTCTTGGGTCTCTCTGCTTTGCCCTCTCCCACTGTGAAATAGGATAATAGAGCTTTGTGATGCCAGGGGCCAGGTAATGCACCTTTCTTTAAGGTGAATGGAAAATTGTCTAATCAATTCAATAACTGCCATCCCAGCTGCCTGTAATGAAAAGTCCCTGAGTACTAATGGATTCTGAACCAGCTTTCCAAGGGCAAAGTTACTATTATTATATGAATATTCTCAAACTGCTCAAGATTGTAAACCAGGAAGCACCTACTCTTTATGCTTCCATTTGTTCTGTCTGCAAAAGGTCTCATGCCTGAATCCACCCTATTAACCAAAAGATTGAGAGTGTAGGTGGCATTTCACACCCTTCCTTATTCCAGATGTCCATCAAGTTATTCTTAACAAGCAAATACTGTATCCAAGAAATGTACTGCAACGATATTGTGAGCCCAGGAAACTTGAAGAAATCTCTCAGCAATTAGGATTAAAACAATAGCGAGCTTTACACTTCATCATTGTAGAACTATTTTAATTTTTAAGGCCTTTCCCAAAATCTTCCCCTTATGGTTCTTTTCCAATCCTAAAAAGAGAAATGATGAACTCTCAGAAAGCATGACTCCAAACAACTAACTGAAATCAGAAACCTCTGTATGCTTTCAGATACCTACTTAAGTCCAAATATCTGACTAACTATTCAGGAAATTAATATTCTCATCCAGTTTTTTATGGTCTTACTGTTTTTCTTCCTTTATTTTTTTTAAATTGGAGTACAGTCGCTTTACCATGTTGTGTGAATTTCTGGCAGTATAGCAAGGTGAATCCGCCACTCACATACATATGGCCCCTCTTTCTTGGATTTCCTTCCCCTTTAGGTCTCCACAGAGCACCAAGTAGGGTTCCCTGTGCTATTCACTAGGTCCTTATTAGTTATCTGTTTCCTATATAGTAGCACCCATGGTAGTTTATTTTAATTAATGTGATGTGACTGTGGTTGGTGTTCAGTTGCTAAGTCATGTCCAGCTCTTTGTGAACTCATGAACTGCAGTACGCCAGGCTTCTCTATCCTTCACTATCTCCTGGAGTTTGTTCAGACTTACGTCTATTGAGTCAGTGATGCCACCCAACCATCTCATCCTCTGTAGTCCCCTTCTCCTCTTTCCTTTGATCTTTCCCAGCATCAGGATCTTTTTCAAATAGTTGGCTTTGCACATCAGGTGGACAAAGTACTGAAGCTTCAACTTCAGCATCAGTCCTTCCAATGAATATTCAGGTTGATTACCTTTAGGATTGACAGCTTTGATCTCCTTACAGTCCAAGGGAGTCTCAAGAGCCTCCTCCAACACCACAGTTCAAAAGCATAAATTCTTCAGTGCTCAGCCTTCTTTATGGTCCAACTCTCACTTCCATACATGACCACTGTAAATACCATAGCTTTGACTGTATAGATCTTTGCCAGCAAAGTGATGTGTCTGCTTTTTCAATACACTGTCTAGGTAGTTTTTCTTCCAAGGAGCAAGTGTCTTTTAATTTCATGGCTGCAGTCACCGTCCACAGTGATTTTAAAGCCCAAGAAAATGAAATCTATCACTGTTTCCACTTTCTCCCCATCTATTTGCCATGAAGTGATGGGACCAGATGGCATGATCTTAGTTTTTGAATGCTGACTTTTAAGCCAGCTTTTTCACTTTACTCTTTCACCTTCATTAAGATGCTCTTTATTTCCTCTTCACTATCTGCCATTAGAGTGGTAAAATCTACAAATCTGAGGTTGTTGATATTTCTTCCTGCAGTCTTGATTCCAGCTTGTGCTACATCCAGCCCTGCGTTTCGTATGATGTACTCTTTCTAGAAGTTAAATAAGCAGGGTGGAAATATACAGTTTTGACATATTCCTTTCCTAGTTTGGAACCAGTCTGTTGTTCCAAGTCCACTTGTGATGGTTTTAAATTATAACAATTCTTTGACTGTTGCTCTGAATTACTATTTAGTCTTATAGCTATTGTTTTTACACTCTTATTTATCCTGACATTTATTTAAGATAGCTACAAAAGTGTCAGACTTTACAACAAGATTAAATACATTAAAAATTAACTAAAATAATGAGAACCGGAGAACTCCATTGATAGTACATGATATGAAAAGTGGGTGGAGAAAGGGAGCAGAAAATAAGAGAAAAGAGAGAACCGGCAAGAAATATTTGCTGCGATTATAAAGAGTTGGCAAGTATTGCAAGCTTTTTTTCTATTTCATGAGATTTAACAACACTCTAAAAACCTGAAGATTTTGTTGAGACTGTTACACTGGTTCTGTACAAAGAGGTTTTGTTTTGTTTGCTGGGCCATGAAAGGCAGAGGGCATTGGGTGGAATCAGTGGGAATCATGATATTAGAGACCCACAGGATATTAGAACCCCATGCAGAAGCTCAAAGGTAAGATGGCTGTTTCTATGCCAGATCAACTATACGAAAATATTTGGCTCTTGAATCATTGTGCCCAACTAATTCCTGCTTTCTTCACGAAGGACTGTCAGCTTTTTCACTTCCTTGACAGTGTTTGGCCTTTCCCAGGTCTGCTTTGTGAACCTGGATGTGAACAAAGATGCATACAACACGGAGCAGCTGCAGCAGGTAACTCGGGGACTGAACTCTCGGGGAGCTCCCTTCCAGGGCTGGCTGTACTGACAAGAGACCTAGCATGACTCTGCCTCAGTGATGCTCGCTGTGAGGGGACTCATTAATTAGATGATTTCATCACAGCCCATCTCCCTGACCTCTTCCTGACATTTTTCTACACAGTTTGCTCTCCTAACATTTGAGAATTGCTTTCCCAAGTAGACTAGGCTGTTTCCTAAGCAGTCTCTTTCTCCTACACCCCCGGTGCCTAGGAGTGACTTTTCTCTGCCCCCCTCTACGCACTCAAGCACTCTTCTGTGATGACTTTTCCAAAGTTTTTCCAAAACCTGCTTGATACCAGCTAGCCCTTCCCTCTGGTTTGCTCCTTCTTGCTGCTCTCATCAAATGTTTTATATCTAACCTCAGTTTCTCGGCCCCACACTCATCTGGGACTCACATTTTTTGCATTCTGTGGGAGCTAAATATTCCAAACTTACCCAAGGTTGTGAGATTTCTGATGTAAATCCTTGACAACATGCAAAAACCTGCAGAATCACTCAATCCTTTGGAACCAGAGACCGTAGGTAAAATGGGAAGGGTTCGTTAGTGTGATGTGATTTATCATTTTATGCCCAAAGCTAAAGATGGCTTGATTTTGCTGTTTGGTACAACACTCTTTAATGTACAGTTGTAGGCCATTTGCATCTTGATTGCCATAGGACAGTGGATCTGAAATTACTCAGTTACTCCTGTAACTTTTTTTTCTTGACAGTGCTGCACCTGAAGATTCTCAAATTTAATTGTTCATACAGATTATTTATTACAAATTTCCACTGAGCCCCAAATATCCTTCATCTGTGTAGTACTATAGAGATCTTCAAAAGAAATTATACAAATAATTTCATTTGATGGAATTGTGGTGCTAAGTTTATCAGAGAGAGCAGGAAGGAACAAAGCAAGCTGTCATCTTAAGAACTGTGTATTTCCATCAAACTTTATGATACCAAAAATATGCATTATAACAACAGCATTTTTCCCAATTTTATTGCTCCAATTAATGTGATCTTCATGGAAACAAAAATGTTTCAGCAGTGATCTTTGGGACAGCTATTGCCGTATTTAAATATACAAATAGATGACAGATATTAATTTTTAAATATGTGTGAAATGAAAATTTGGTAATATTATGAAAATTACATTTTCAGAGTGTGTAAAATAAATATGTAGATGTGCATTTCTAATTAATCTGTTGTATATGAATCTCTTAGTATTCTCTGTGTTCTCAGGTTTTGATTGTTTTTTGGATCAAATAAACATTCTTTTGTTTTATATGAAAAAATAAGTGTATATGTCTAGCACAATAAAAGACTAAAGCAAAAAAAGAAGACTGTATTTAACAAATTTATGACTGATTTGAAACAGTCTTTGGCTATGTCTAAGGACATACATAAGCTGATTTAGCTACATAAAGTTGTTCATCTCATCTTTCTGGATTTCAGCATATTTATGTGTGAAAATAAAGTGCTACCTAATCCATTTAGGGGTATTGCAGTGATTGAATGCAATCAATTAAGGACATGCAGTCCTTCATATGGTGCCTCATATATACAAGAAAATCAATGCCAGTAATTATTTTATTGTTAATATTATTACTGGGGGCTTCCCAGGTGGCGCTAGTGGTAAAGAACCTGCTTGCCAAAGCAGGAGACAGAGGAGACTCAGGTTTGATCTCTGAGTTGGGAAGATCCCCTGGAGGATGGCATGACAACCTACTCCAGTATTCTTGCCTGGAGACTCCCGTGGACAGAAGAGCCTGGCAGACTACAGTCCACAGGGTCGCACAGAGTCAGACATGACTGAAGCGGCTTACCATGCAATTTTATTATTATTAGCTTCATTAGAACACATGATTATTAGTCAACAAGTCTCTTATTCAAGGACTTAAAAGGGAGGAAAATTCCCAAACTACCATGGATGCCTGTGGTGTCGCAATGAAATCATTAAGTGTTTACTTTGGGAAACTTCAAACTAAAAATTGTTAAATCTTTATGTTTAGGAAATTTTCTATTCCAATCTAAACCTTTATGCTTCACTTTTATACAATCTCTTCTCATAATAATCTTACTAGATTCAGTCGTCTATATTATGAATAGTTATATGAGTATATTAGTTTTGCAAGTAAAATAATTTTGAGGTAGTATTTTGGAAGTGAAAATAAATTATCTCAACTAATAAAGATTCTTGTCCTACAGAAGTTGGTCAGTGTTTCACCAGATCTTCCAAAACTTATAAGCTCCATGAATGTCCAACAGCCAAAAGAAAATGAAATTGTCCTCCTAAGTGGGTTAACATCTGGAAACCTACAGACAGATTTTGAAGTTTCACAGGTAAGAAATATTAGCTCTTGATAAGCAATTCACTAGTAAGTTATCTGTGGTCAGCTCTTAGCACAAATCAGTATGAGGCCCAAATGAATGCAATATGTAGACTCCCATAGCATATGAATTTAAACGTCTTTGTATCCTATAATAGACTTTACTTGTACTTCTTTTAAATATTACCTCTTAAAGTGTGACAGTTTCCCTTACATTGATTCCTAACATATATTATGTTCTCAAGTTTATGGTACTAAGTTGCACTTAAACTAGAGCAGACACACCAGGCATTGGTTGGTTAGCTTGGTTTTCTACTAATCTACTGAGTAATCAAAACCAGAATTGTCTTCTGTTTCAGGAAAAATAGCAAAATTCTAATTCATATCATGTGATGCCAGAATGGCATAATTTCTTCTTTCTGCATGCTATTTATTTTTTAGGTGATATCAAACCAGCCAAGCTAATAAATACAGGATGGCAGTCCCAAAGATGAAAATGGAGTTTCCTAGACCCAAAATGAAGTTCTCAGAAGAAAAGAATGTTACTTAAAATAGAGTTTAAAATACTGTTATCATTCAATCTATTAAACTAATGTTCATTATTATTAAATAAATAATTATAATGCTGAAGAAAACTAACATTTTAAACTGTTTAATTGATTTACATAAAATTTCTAAAGACACACTGTCTAAAGACACTTATGCTCTCACATAAGATACGTGAATAGTGATTGATAGCTACAGACTAAAATAATGAGCATTTGTTTTCCTCTATAAATTGTTCTTCCTTGTGTTTTAGTTTTGCTGGAAAGTTTTTAAATCTTCTTTTATTCTTTAATCCTTCAAAATATCAAAAAAAAGTTTAGTGGGCCACCCACTATTTCTTTCCATACTTCAGATGCTCAGTGAAAATCTACACACAGCCCATTACAGTTTGCTCCTCAAGACTAGAACAAGATTATTCCCAGTCAATCTAATAACACACTTCTTTAATGAGAAAATTAATTGTTTGAAAAGAGAATACAGAAGTGGACCTAAGTGCTGTCTATTTATATTAGGCAAAGCCATAATAACCAAACATAATTTTCAAACCTGAGTTTTAAAGGTGGTTTCTGCACCAGGCCTATTAGTTATGATTCCTAATTAAACTCTCCATGAGGAAAGTTGGAAAAAACACAGGAACTGGAGTCCAGGAAACCTGGACTGCAGCGGTGGTTCTTCCACTTAATATTTCTGTGACTTGGATGAGTGGAGAGACAGAGATTGACACATATACACTATTGATGCTATGTACAAAATACATATATACACATACACACTACTGACGTATATACACATACACACTATTGATGTATATACATGTGTGTATATGTATATATATACACTGTGATGGTATGTATAGTATACATATATACACATACACACTATGATGTATATACATGTGTGTATATGTATATATACACTGTGATGCTATGTATAATATACATATATACACATACACACTATGATGTATATACATGTGTGTATATGTATATACACATACACACTATTGATGTATATACATGTGTGTATATGTATATATGCACTGTGATGCTATGTATAATATACATATATATACATACTATTGATGTATATACATGTGTGTATATATATATATACACATACACACTATGATGTATACACATGTGTGTATATGTATATATACACTGTGATGCTATGTATAATATACATATATATACATACACACTATTGATGTATATACATGTGTGTATATGTACATACACATACACACTATTGATGTATTACATGTGTGTATATGTATATACACACTGTGATGCTATGTATAATATACATATATACACATACACACTATGATGTATATACATGTGTGTATATGCACATACATATATGTATATACACATGTACACTATTGATGTATATACATGTGTGTATATGTATATATACACTATTGATGTATATACATGTGTGTATATGTATATATACATTATTGATGTATATACATATGTGTATATGTATATATACACTAATGATGTATATACATGTGTGTATATGTATATATACACTATTGATGTATATACATATGTGTATATGTATATACACATATACACTATTGATGTACATGTGTTTTAAATAATCTCTTTTAATAAGGGGAACATGTAGACATGAAATATTCCCAAGCATTTTCAATTCCATCTTGAGATAAGTTTATTTAGCTTCCCTTTGCCCACTGTTGTTTCTATTCAAATAATTTTCTCTTAAAAATTGCTATAAATCAACATATTGTTCCTCTTACAAAGATGAAAACCCAATGCACAAGACATATCTGTGACTTACTAGTAATCTGTGCAAAGGCAACTGAGACTTTTTACTGTTATTCTAATGAATGACACTATGAATGGTGAAAATATGTAGTGGAGAATGGAGAGGTGGTCTGTAACCTTGGAACTGAAAAGAATTAACAGGTCTCCATGGGACACTCTCCAGTGATCTGTCTCCCTCAGTGCTGTCCCCATAAACCTGTGCTTTAAAGAGAATTTGATCACTTTCAGTGGATTTTTTTACATCTCATTTTGGCTGCTTCTTCATATGAACACTACAAATTATAAAATATAACCATAGTTGATAGAACACTTTCCATCTGTGTGAAATACTAGCAGAGAGGTTATACTGAATATCACCAAGGCAGAAAAAATATTGGTCTGAGAACCTGGGACTCATTTAATCAAAAGGAGTACCCAAGACAGCCTTAACTTTCCCCTCAGCTTTATTAAATTTTAGACAGCCTTATTCCTAACTCCAGGCCCTAAACTTCCCTTTTCATAGAATATTGATTTCAGAGAATTTATTTTTATAAATTGCTTCTCTGCCCCATTGAGATATAAATCATTTTAAAAGCCTTTTGACACTTGTACAACCCAAGAATGTCTTTCTCAAGGACCTTGAATCCATCTCTTGGAAATGTCATCAAAGAAGTTAGTGTCCCTATGTCTTTGGAAGGATTGGAGCCTAACTTCTGTAGGCACTTTGCTCCAATTTGCAAAACTACCTCCAGCCAAGAAGATACAAGAAGTTTCCTTTTCCTAAGCAAACACAGATGGACTTTAGTCCTCCTGTACCAGCTCTTCAAAGCCCTGTTGCCTTTTTTTTTTATTTCAGTGGAGTTGTGATTCAACTCAGTTCTGGCCTCCTTCTTTTATTTTAAAAGCTTTAAATGAGGTCTTCTGTGCCTGCTAAACTTTGCCCAGTGCAATTTTCACCTAGACAGGAGAGAACAAAAATATGTAATACAACTAGTCAACTTTTCTCCTAGGTACCCTGTGTTCCAAAGCACCATTTGAATTTTTTCAAGCAGTTCATCAATATCTGCCCTGAAGATATTCCAAGTATTTTAAAGGTCCCCATTCCTTCTAATAGGAGAGACTAATAGAAGAGAGATCGGAGGCGATGATTCTATATTTTCTCTTGTGTGTGTGTGTGCTGTTGTGTCGGACTCTTTGCGACCCCACAGACTGTAGCCCACCAAGCTTCTCTGTCCATGGAATTCTCCAGACAAGAACACTGGGGTAGGTTGCCATTTCTTTCTCCAGGGGATCTTCCTAACCCAGGGATCAAACTCGCGTCTCTTACATCTCATGCATTGGCAAGTGGATCCTTTACCACTAGCGTCCCTCAAGAAGCTCCCCCTTTTTTTTAACATAATGCCGTTTTCTCTCTCTACTCGCAGTGTCCTTGGATGTCAGATGTCTGCTTGGTCCAGTGTGCAAGAGGGAACAGACCAAACAGTACCAATTGCATCATCTTTGAAATCAACAAATTTTTGATTGGTCTGGAACTGGTACAGGAGCGGCAGCTCCACCTTGAAACAAACGTCTTGAAAGTGGAGGATGACACGAACTGTTCCTTGTCCTCAGTTGAAGAAGACTTTCTTACTGCATCCGAGCACTTGGAGGAGGAAAGTGAAGTGGAAGAGTATAGGAACGGTGAGAACTTTCCTGTAAAATGAATGTGCATCCTGAAATTAGTCACCCTATAAAAATGTCTGGGTTACATTTCAGAAAAGTTTCAGGCCACATCAGTTCGGCTGACACATCACTATCTTCACATAAGAAGTTTCAGGAGGGAGAGAGAATAAGAAAACACTAGTGAGGATGCTGACAGAGGCACTTTAATGGATTTAATGGTTAGATGGCCCCATTCTCCATAAAGATGCCTTAGGGATGCTGAAGGAAATCTCTGTTTTAAAACAAAATCTTCCTGCCTGCCAAGAGATGGAGACTATCACTTGGAGGAAAGTTAGTTTCCCTAAGATTTCCATTAAAGCCATCTGTTAGCTGAGGCTGAGTGAGACTGGCCTGAATCTGAGCGCTGCCTCTTTGAGGCTATGAAACCTGGGGCCAGTGATCTAAGTCTTTCTGAGCTCCGATTTCCTTATGCATAATTTGGAAGTATAACTATGCCCCCAGAACTATTATATGTATTATATTTAGCCATTTAAAATATATATTTGTTACATTTCTGGGCTTTCCAGGTGGCTCAGTGGTAAAGAATCTCCCTACCTATGCAGGGGCCACAGGAGACATGTGTGAGATCCCTGGGTTGGAAAGATCCCCTGGAGAAGGAAATGGCAACCCAGTCCAGTATTCTTGCCTGGGAAATCCCATGGATAGAGGAGTCTGACAGGCTGCAGTCCATGGGGTCGCAAAAGAGTCAGACACGACTGAGCCGGCATGATTATTTTTGCCAGGGCAGGAGGAAGTAACCCAAGAAAGTACTTAGCATGTGTTTACTGATTATTTCTTTTGACTCATTAATAGAGCTCAGTGAACAATAAGTTACTCTTCCCCAAAGAGGAAGGGATACTCCAGATTCTGTTCTCACTGTCCTTGGGGCACGTCCTATGCCAGCTTCAGAGAAACTCTCTCAACAAGGCCCACGATATCCTGCATATCCTGCCTTCTCCCTCTGTACCCGCTGGGCAGCTACAGGACACAGTTGTCTCGGTTACTTTCTCCCCAGAGCATGGTGACCAGCCCTCAGCTCCCAATGCCCTCTTCCACTCCAGCACTGACATTTGTACTCCACGTTTAAAGCCATTCTGTTGAGGGCAGTTCACAATGAAACTCAAAAGCCTTTTCAGATTCACTTTTCTTGAAGAAACATTCAAAATACTATTTTCAGAAACAGAAAAAAAGATAACTGATCCTTTAAGGCATTTTTGGAAATAAAGATTATTTTAGACTCATGTGAACCTGCTATCTGAAAAGTAATGGTGCATGTAACTTCTCGAATGATGGCTTTTTATGTTGTTGTTTTTTTGTCTCTGTTCCATTTATAACTGCTCTGATCTTTATGATTTCTTTCCTTCTACTAAGTTTGGGTTTTGTTTGTTCTTTCTCTAAAAAATAGTACAAATGAACTTATTTATAAGACAGAAATAGAGTCACAGATGTAGAAAACAGATTGATGATTACCAGGTGGAAATGGTGGAGGGTTGGGGGCGGGCTGGGAGATTAGGAGTGACCTTTACACACTGTGCCGTGTTGTACATAGTCACTCAGTCGTGTCTGACTCTTTGCGACCCCATGAGATATAGCCAACCAGGCTCCTCTGTCCTTGGGATTCTCCAGGGAAGAATACTGGAGGAGGTTTCCATGCCCTCCTCCAGAGGATCTTCCCAACCCAGGGATAGAACCTAGGTCTGCTGCATTGCAGGCGGGTTCTTTACTATCTGAGTCCCAGGGAGGCCCAAGGATGCTGGAGTGGGTGGCCTCTCCCTTCTCCAGGGGAACGTCCCAACTCAGGAATTGAACCAGACTCTCCTGCATTGCAGGCAGATTCTTTACCAGCTGAGCCACCCAGGAAGCCCCGTATACACACTACTGTATATAAAATAGATAACAAATAAGAACCTACTGTATAGCAACGGGAACTGTATTCAATACTTTGTAATGGCCTAAATGGGAAAAAATCTAAAAAAGACTGGTTATATATATAATTGATTCACTTTTCTGTATACCTAAAACTAACACAACAATGTAAATCAACTGTACTCCAATAAAATACTCAGAATTGCAAAAAATGGAATAAAAGTAGATGATCAAAAGTGACAAAATAAATAAGTAGTATTTTGACTTAAATAAAATAAATAAGTAGTATCATTTTCTCTTCACCAGGTTATGAAAATATAAATGTCTCAACCAGTATCTTGGAAAATAAAAAGCTAAAGGAAGCCACTAAAGAGGAATGGAATTACAGCAAGGAAAAGTTACTTTATCCATTGGAAGACAAGTGTGTTAGCAAATATCATACACCACTGGTTAAAACAGAAGGATCTCTGGGAAAAGTGGCAGAATATACAAGTCTGCAGAGCCTAGATCCTTCAGCCAAGATATCAAAGTGGAAAGGTGAAGCCGTGGGGAATGAGAGGTCAACCACAAATGATTATTACTCAGAAAAGTGTAAAAGTCAAGAGGAAAAATCACAGGCACTATGTATTCCAGGCAATGCTTATTTCTCAAGGATGGTTAAAAGGGATGGACCTTCTGCGTGTGAGACTTTCTCTGAGTGTGACAGCAATTTAGACCCAGGAGACCATGAAGACCACACAAGCACTCTTCTTCCCTTACAAGATGGAGAAGCCACAACAGGCAAGTATGCCACAAATTTGGCGGAATCTGTGCTGCAAGATGCATTTATTCGACTGTCTAAGTCTCAGCCTGCCCTCCCCCAGGAATCTGCAGTCAGTGTTTCTGTAGGAAGTACTCTGCTCCCCAGTAGCTCTTCTACAAACGATATCGTGGTACCTCAGTCATGGAACGAGCTCCCCAAAATCGTCATTGTCCAGAGTCCAGAAGGCAGTGATGCTGGCCCTGAGCCAGGCACTTCCTCGTGGCCCGAGGCAGAAGTCTCCAGTGAAACTTCAGGCGTCCCCTCTGGAGAGAACTCCAGCAGACACCCCCAGAGTGCTCTAGAAGTAGCATTAGCTTGTGCAGCCACTGTTATTGGAACCATTTCCAGTCCACAAGCCACAGAAAGATTCAAAATGGAGCAAGAACCCCTGGTTTCACACCATCCACTGGGAGGTGATGAGCCAGTGCAAACTCAGGCCTCTCAAGTACTCAAGGATCCCTCCCTCCGTGAATACTCGCTTCCATCTGCTTTATGCGGCATGACTCAGGTGGCCAGTGCTGTTGCTGTCTGTGGCCTGGGGGAAGCAGGAGAGGTGAAGTGCCCGGTGGCTTCCAGTGGCTTCCTGTCTGCAGTTGAGGCCCCTGCAGCTATCCCCCAACTTTGTGGCTTCGTAACAGAGAGGACCATGGAGCTGGGGAATGAAGCCATTGCAGAGGCCTTGCTCAAGGAGGTTGCCTTGGTCTTAACAAGACCTAATGCCTACAGCAGCATCGGAGACCTCATGGAGTCAGTGAACAGGAGGATCGTAGAAGCTGTTTCAAAGCCTCAGACCTTGGGCTCAGAAAATGCCCTTGGGAATGAACTGGCACAGACCCTGTCCAATGTTATCCTGAAGCATTCCATTGATGAAATTCACCAGAAAAATAAAATAACAGACCCCAATGATGACAGGGACTCATCTGAAACCCTGGACTCCTTGATGGAAAGTGTAAATCAGCTGCTCTTCAATGTGATATGCTTCACATTCAAGAAGATGAGCCACCTTGTACAGCTTGGGGGATGTCCCCCTGTCCTTTCTAAGGAGACCATCAGATGGAGGGAAACCGAACCAGACTTCCAGCCAACTGATCAAGCCATTTGTCCAGCATGGACAAAAGCCGCTGAATACTCCAGTTGCCATCCACTTAGCAACCTGCATATCAGCAGTCCTGTTATCAATGATCTCGTAGATGCTGGACATCTGAAGCAAGATAGCAAGGGTCCAGAGCAGTCAGGTCTTTCCCAGATCCCCACACTGCAATCTGAATTATCCTGCAGTACCAGCATGTCTGCTAAAACACCCCCCAAGGAAATATATCTGACAGGATCGGTGGTGGAGGATACGAAAAACCCTCCTCCACCACCCAGTGACAATGAGAATGAATGCAGAGTGCCTCCAGAGGAAGAAATGACGCCAACAGTTGGCAAGTACAGCTCCAGTTCCCAGGACACTGAGGACAGCATCACTGCAGATGCCCAAGAAAAGTACAATGGTGCCTCGCCTCTGAACAATGAAGTTCAAGTTTGCCCGTCTTTGTTGGGGGATGATTTGCTTCTTCCTGCTCAATCCATGCTACCAGAAGAAGACCCGGACATATACTGCATTGCAGACTTCGCAGAAGAATTAGCAGAGACGATCGTCTCCATGGCAACGGAAATCGCAGCGATTTGCCTAGACAACTCCAATGGAAAACAACCCTGGTTCTGTGCATGGAAAAGAGGGAATGAGTTTCTGGTTACCCCCAACATCTCCTGCCGATCCTTGAAGAGGAAGAAAGAGAGCCAGGCCAGCGGGGCCACTGTGAGGAAACACAAGCCCCCGCGACTCAGCGAGATCAAGAGGAAAACCGATGAGCACCCAGAGCTGAAAGAGAAGCTGATGAACAGAGTGGTGGACGAGTCCATGAACCTCGAGGACATCCCAGACTCTGTCAGTAGTTTTGCAAACGAAGTGGCAGCCAAGATCATGAACCTCACAGAGTTCTCCTTGGTGGACGGTGTCTGGCAAGCCCAGGGCTACCCCCGGAGTCGGTTACTGGGTGGGGACAGGTGGAACCGCCTGAAGGCCTCCAGCTGCGAGAGCATTCCAGAGGAGGACTCTAACACCCGGGCCTATGTGAACAGCCTGGGTTTAATGAGTACCCTGAGTCAGCCAGTTAGCCGGGCCAGCTCCGTCTCCAAGCAGTCGAGCTGCGAGAGCATCACCGATGAGTTTTCCAGGTTCATGGTGAACCAGATGGAAAGTGAAGGAAGAGGCTTCGAGTTACTGGTAGATTACTACGCAGGCAAGAACGCCAGCAGCATCCTGAGCTCAGCTGTGCAGCAGGCCTGCCGGAAAAATGACCACCTGAGTGTGAAGCCAGGCTGCCCCTCGAAACAGTGCAGCACCGAGAGCATCACCGACGAGTTCTACAGGCACATGCTGAGGGAGAGCGAGCGGGAGGGCAAAGACGGCGCCTCCTCCAGGCGAGGCAGCCAGGACTGGACCGGCTTGCTCTCGCCTTCTCTGCGATCCCCCTTGTACTACAGACAGTCGTCCGTGCCCGACGGCAGATCCCCGGGCGCCAGGCTCACGGTGAACGTGCCCATCAAAGCCAACTCCTTAGACGGCTTTTCTCAACACAGCCAGCAAGACTTCCTCAGCGTCCAGCCAGTCGGTGGTGCTTCCTCCTCGGGGCTCTGCAAATCTGACTCTTGCCTGTATCGCAGAGGCGGGGCTGACCACGTCACAAACATGTTAATTCACGAGACCTGGGCAAACTCAATCGAGGCCCTCATGCGGAAGAATAAAATTATAGTGGACGATGCCGGCGCGGCTGATGCTGAACCTGCTGCAGGGGGCCCGTCCTTGCAAGTGGAAAAGTGTGCGGGCAGGTTAGCTTCGGGCAGGGTGCAAAGTGGGCCAGCGCTGCTTGTGCAGGGGTCCGTTGAGTATCCGAGGAAAAACTCAATCACAGAAAGCAGCCCTCCCCCATGGTCGTCCCCAAGCAAAGCTGCTCCTCTTACAAGTCACAGCAGTTTAGATTTTAACAAGGAAACTCCCTCATGCCACGATGAGGTCCCTCTAAGCCACACCCGGCGATCACTTTGCTCAAGGGAAGTGCCTTTAATCCAGATCGAAACAGACCAGAGAGAAGAATGTGTGGGAGAAGCTGAACACGTTGTTTCCGAATGCAGCCCCCTGGAGGAAAAAGAAGAGTGTTTGAAAGAAGAAAAGGTCCCAGATGCAGGGAAGGGTGAGGACGCTGCCCTGAGTGCCTGCCAGAACCCCAGGTGAGTGAGTGATGTCTTAGACGAACAAGGGTGCATGGGACTGCGCTTTGCACCCTAATCAGTATTTAATATAAATCTTAGAAACTTACTGGTGCAGAAACTGAATTCCTGATAGTCATTGGCTTCCCTGGGTTAATATAAACTTTCCCAGGTGGTGCTAGTGGTAAAGAACCCTCCTGCCAATGCAGGAGATGTAAGAAATATGGGTTTAGTCCCTGGATTGGGAAGATCCCCTGGAGGAGGCATGGCAACCCACTCCAGTATTCATGCCTGGAGAATCCTATGGACAGAGGAGCCTGGTGAGCTACAGTCCATGGAGGTGGCAAAGAGTCAGACACAAAGTGACTTAGCATGCATATAATAGAAAGGCAGAAGTAAATTTTTTTTAATTTCTAAAAAATTAGATTTCTGTGTATAATGAAATGAGATATCATTCTCCCCATTCAAATTAATCTCCCATAGTAAGCTACCTTTTGAAATTAATTCATGGCAACTTCCAAGCAAAAAGGAAAACACATCAACTTGTTCACTTGAAAAAAGCTAAATTTAAATAAGTTTTAATATTGGAATCTGACATTAAATATTTTGGCGTAATTTTCCCCCAGCTTCCCTCGAGTTTTTCTTTCTTACTCTAAAGATCTTTGCAAGAACACCATGTCCCACAGTGCTGACTCTTTAGATTCATAGTATGATACAGGCTTCCATGATGGCGCCTGCCACCATGTGGTAAAGAATACCTGCCAATCCATGAGACATGGTTTGATCCCTGGGTGGGGAAGATTCCCTGGAGAAGGAAATGGCAGCTCACTCCAATTTTTGTGCCTGGAAAATTCCATGGACAGAGGAGCCTGGCAGGCTACCGACCATGGAGTTGCAAGAGAATCAGATATGACTGAGTGACTAAACTTCAACATAATCACAGTAGCATACGTGCAAAAAAACACTGGAGTGTTGTTATTTCAATAGTTCTTTTTCCAGAAAATCATAATGCAGGTGACGGTGCGTTTTGAATTTGAGACAAGGTAATTATTTCTCTCAGGCAGCTTAAAGAAATATCAGTTCCTTTTACAACTCCCATTTTCTGTAGCAAATTCATAGGATTCTTGAATATGAGACCATTGTAGCATTTAAAAATGTGATCTATACTTAAAGTTTTTTTTAAAGCTACAGAATAAAGACAAAAATTAATCTACTGGCTTTGGGAAACTTAAGTTGAGAAACAGCTTGCATTATCTTTTCAGAGATATACATCTGTCATTCAGAGAGCTTATGATTTTTAAATGTTTAGCTGCAACTAACCAATTGAACACAGACTCCCTCAAATTTTGTCAGCTCTGGAAAATCCCTAGGACATTCACACCCCCACCAAGAATGAGAAATCCCCCAAATGGATCCATCTTCAGGTACTAAAGCTCACCATCATTATAAAGCATCTTTACAAGTTATGGGCAGTGGGTGCTCCAGTTGCACTGTCTTAGCTACTTAGTGCTAAGAATTTAGCTTTCCAGTTGGATTAAATCCTAGAAGAATGCAGGGGGACAAAAGCATGAAAACATACAAGCAAAAGAACATGAACTTAAGCCAAATGAAGTACAGGCCAAGTTGACTAAGAAGGCAAGTTCTTACATATCTATAATTCTCCAGACAATACTTGTCAAAATCTTACAGAAGTACCATACCTTACCATAGTGTTCACCACCTCCAGGAAATATGATGCATGACAAGTTATTAATTGTGATTAAAGACTTGTTTTGGATTCCAGATGTTTGACTTATGCTCCCCTTGAAAACACCAGCTGAGATTCTTAGTAAAAGATCACCTAGCTAGGGAGCATTCTTGAACCAGTAGTTCAACAAAGTTCATAGTTGTAGGCTCAAATGTAATAGTGGTGGTCACTGAAATTAGATACCATGCATTCTACAATTTTGAGTTAAATGTCACAAATGCTACTCAAAATAGGTACAACCTAGGAACATTCCAAAAAATTGAAAAATAGGCATGTATAAAGCCTCCAACTGAATTAGTTTGTGTTCCCAATAAATGACCCAAACACATATTATCTCATGATGTGGATTTCTGATTCCATTTTCCAACAGTGAAAGAGGAAAAAAATGTGGTAGAATCATCAGCCTTAGAAATTTGAGAGCTAAATCTTTTCTCAAAGCATCCAGACTAAGCATTTAATATATTTTTCTTTGTGGCACAATATAAAGAATTATAGGAACTTCGCTTGTGGTCCAGGGGTTAGACTACAGGCTAAGTGCTTTCAATGCAAGGGGCATGATAGGCCACCAGGCGAATATGTCCCTAGGATTTCCCAGCAAAAATGCTGGAATGGGTTGCCATTTCCTTCTCCAGTGGATCTTCCCAACCCAGGGATCAAACCATGTCTCCTTCACTGGCAGACAAGTTCTTCAGCACTCAGGCACCAGGAGAGACCTTACTCACCTGCTGTTATTCAGTCAGTCGTGTCAGACTCTTTGCCACCCCGTGGACTGTAGCACTCCAGGTTTCCCTGTCCTTCCCCTGCTCCTGGAGCTTGCACAAACTCATGTCCATTGAGTTGATGATGCAATCAAACCATCTCATTCTCTGTCATCCTCTTCTCCTCCTGCCTTCAATCTTTCCCAGCATCAGGGGACTTTTCTAATGAGTTGGCTCTTCGCATCAGGTGGCCAAAGTATTGGAGCTTCAGCTGTAGCATCAGTCCTTCCAATGAATATTCAGGACTGATTTTAGGATAAACTGATTTGATTTTCTTGCAGTCCAAGGGACTTTCAAGAATCTTCTCCAACACTGCAGTTCAGAAGCATCAATTCTTTGGCACTAAGCTTTCTTTATGTTCCAACTCTCACATCCACACATGACTACTGGAAAAACCATAGCATTTATACAGATCTTTCTTGGCAGTGTGTCTGCTTTTTAATCCACTGTCTAGGTTTGTTATAGTTTTTCTTCCAAGAAGCAAGCGTCTTTTAATTTCATGACTGCAGTCACCAATCTGCAGTGATTTTGAAGCCCAAGTAAATAAAGCCTGTCACTGTTTCCATTGTTTCCCCATCTTTTTCCCAGGAACTGAAGGGACTGGATGCCATAATCTTCGTTACTTGAATGTTGAGTTTTGAACCAGCTTTTTCACTCTCCTCTTTCACCTTCATCAAAAGGCTCTTTAGTTCTTCTTCACTTTCTGCCATAAGGGTGGTGTCATCTGCATATCCGAGGTTATTGATATTTCTCCTGGCAATCTTAATTCCAGCTTGTGCTCCATCCAGCCTCGCATTTCTCATGATGTTCTCTGCATATAAGTTAAATAAGCAGGGTGACAATATATAGCCTTGAAGTACTCCTTTCCCAATTTGGAACCAGTCTGTTGTTCCATGTCCGGTTCTAACTGTTACTTCTTGACTTGCATACAGGTTTCTCAGGAGGCAGGCAAGGTGGTCTGGTATTCCCATCTCTAAGAACTTTCCATAGTTTGTTGTGATCCACACAGTCAAAGACTTTGGCAAAGTCAATGAAGCAGAAGTAGATGTTTTTCTAGAATTCTCTGCTTTTTCTATGATCCAATGGATGTTGGCAGTTTGATCTCTGGTTTTTCTGCCTTTTCTAAATCCAGCTTTGAACATCTAGAAGTTCACTGTTCACATACTGTTGAAGCCTAACTTGGAGAATTTTGAACATTGCTTTGTTAGTGTGTGAGATAAGTGCAATTGTGCAATAGTTTGAACATTCTTTGGCATTGCCTTTCTTTGGGATTGGAAAGAAAACTGACCTTTTCCAGTTCTGTGGCCTGGATTTTCCAAATTTTCTGTCATATTGAGTGCAAAACTTTCACAGCATCATCTTTTAGGATTTGAAAGAGCTCAGCTGGAATTCCATCACCTCCACTAGCTTTGTTCGTAGTGATGCTTCCTAAGGCCCCCTTGCCTTCTCACTCCAGGATGTCTGGCTCTAGGTGAGTGATCACACCATTGTGGTTATCTGGGTCATGATGATCTTTTTTGTATAGTTCTTCTGTGTATTCTTGCCACCTCTTCTTAATATCTTCTGCTTCTGTTAGATCCATACCATTTCTGTCCTTTATTGTGCCCATCTTTGCATGAAACATTCCCTTGGTATCTCTAATTTTCTTGTAGCGATCTCTAGTGTTTCCCATTCTATTGTTTTCCTCTATTTCTTTGCATTGATCACTAAGAAATTCTTTCTCATCTCTCTTTTCTATTCTTTGAACCCTGCATTCAGATGGGTATATCTTTCGTTTTATCCTTTGCCTTTCACTTCTCTTCTTTTCTCAGCTATTTGTAAGGCCTCCTCAGACAATCATTTTTCCTTTTTGCATTTCTTTTTCTTGGGGATGGTTTTGATCATTGCCTCCTGTACAATGTTACGAACCTCTGTCCATCATTCTTCAGGCACTCTGTCTCACCTATAAGGGGTAATAATAGTAACAACTACATCATCAGAAGATTCTTAAGGTTTACATGAAGAAATGTAGACAGGCTCTTAACTCATCACCTAGTCTATTACAAACACTCGATAAATGCTTACTCTATAGTTGTTGTTTGGGGTTAAAGTATATGGTTGCCTTTACTCCAGAAGATCTTTTTCCCAAGAGAAACCTGTTATGAACAGTGTGAGAATTTTATTAAAACTAGAGAATTCTCAGGATTTACAAGAGGGAAATTAGTCATACTTAGATCACATTTTCTAAGTTCAGGGTTGTATCAGGGGATTTGACATGTCAAAATGCCTAAATATGGAGCTCAATTCCCTATGAAAGATTGCCTACCCACTTATACACAAGAGGGAGGGAGATGACACTGGCACACATTAGATTGTTTGGAAGTGGGTGTCATGTCCGGAAGATACTTGTAGGCTATTCTCTGAGGGACATTTTCATAATGCTTACTAAAAGCTTCATAAAAGTTCAACATAATGAAATAAAAATCACATTCTTACTTTTTTGTTAGATAAAACCAGAATTCATCATGGCCATCAGG